ATTTTAGCTGTATGTGTTTCTGGACGGGGACAGGAGTTCATAACAGGGAAAACACTAAAGCAGTATGGATTTGGCAGCTTTGTAGTGCAAATGACGTATCTGTAGCGTGTACTTTAAGCGCCACGGGGCCATTAGGCGTTGAAAGCGGAAGCAACCAAGAGTAAAATGTTCATGTGTATCAGAGATCAGGTGAATACTGTCAAGTGATTTGGTTTGCTGTATAAGATTTCACGACGCATTTGTCGCTGCAATTATAAAGTTGAATAGAAAGAGCGTAGAGCCCAAGAATAAGGGAAAATAAACTGGCGCTGTCAAGGGTTGAATCGCTGTCCTAACTCATAACCCACGCTCTGAAGGCTGCCAGATATGAATTTGCACGTGTGACGAAAATAATAAATATGCAGATCAATAAATGCCGGAGACCCGAACTTCTGTTGGCAAGTCTATAAACCAATATATGAGTCATCTGGACCTTGATTACAGACAACACGGACACTAAATACACGCTGAGGGACTAAAAACAGTTAATCTGTTGATTTTATTTCATTAGTTTTGATAGCGTGCTCGTACAAGTTTTAAGGAGTTTATATAGGTACAAGAACAGTTTGCACGCTCGATGATGAAGGTTCACCGATCGTTAACGGAACTCACTCATCTCGCTCTGTCCTCGGGCTTAGTCTGGAGCCCCATTTGCAGCCGCACACCGGCTAGTACTTTAGGACGATACAATTGCCGGTAAAGACCAGGGAACCTGGAAGGGCCATTTCTGGCTCATTAGCCGTTACCTGCCTAATCTACTAGCAGCTGTGCAGCTGCTAGCGGGACTCGAGAACGAGTCCCAAGGTTGAGCAGAACGAGTGAGTTGCGTTGGTAATCGGTGAACGTTAATCGACGAATATCAATATTCCCGATATAAACTGGCAAACAACGAACCCGTGGCTCAATGGTAAGAGCGTTGAATTTCTGATTAACAGGTCTCGGGTTTAAGCCTCGAGTGGAGAATCCTGTGGGTTTGTGTATGACTAGTTCTGGCGATAAACCGGCCTTCTTTCCAGTAATTATAATCTTCTTTGGCAATTCTGTGAGGAACGTGCACTACCGTCCTGTTAATTTACATTCGTCTAAATTACTTGCTCTGAATTATAAGTACTGTGAAATAGCTTTGCCTATGGAAATGACATATTCAATTTTCTAACATCACTCGGATCTGTTTCTCTGCTATGCAAAAAGCCGAACTTCTGCACCGAGAAATAAAATGAGTATCGAACAGATTAACAAGTAAAATTGTCCAAAATGCAGTTAAGAGGCAATTTCAAGTAGCACTTTCTTCTGAGTTCATCGACCTGTAACTACTTAGTAGGAGGGAATTTCCGTTTGAAGACAGCATGGGCCGCGGAGGAAGTTATGACAGCCCCAAAGTGGTTAGTAAAGCTAGCATAAGTCAGATTCGGACAATTGTGAGCCCACAACAAACAACTCTTTTAGGATATGTTAGGGTTTCAACCGAAAAACGGTTCCGAATCCTTCCAATATTGGACCAGAGGGAGGCCAATAGAAGAGGTATCTTTCCTACTGAATGATTACCTTGTGGTAGACTTAGGTCAAATCTATGCTGGAGGATGTAGGTTAGTTTTAGGCAAATGAGGTTTCCATATATGGGTTACATGATATACCATAATTGCCAGAAGAGGTACGAATTAAAAGTCCATACACGTAATTCACTGATATTCTGCGGTTAAATGACACAACTGTGAGGGTTTTGGCTGGTAAATTGGTCCCCCAGTATTTCGTACGTGTTTTCCAGCAGATAATCCAGTTTTAAAATAACAGCTTTTTACATTCCTCAAAATGTAATCGCTAATTTAGTGCTACTCAGTCTGAATTAAGCGGTGGGACTGTCACCAAAACGTTTACGTCAACGTTTCACCTGCGCTTCAACAACTTTATTCAGATCAATTTACGCTACACGAATGACAACTTTCTGAGGAGATAAAAACCGCAGGTTTTACTAAACGAATTCTTGGGTCAGCGGATGGTAAATTAATTCCTCTGACCGTATTATATTTTAATTCCGACTCAAATGGGCTTTCTTTAATAAGTCTCGAGACTCCAGTTAACGCAGGGACTTCTATATGATAAAAGGATGGGATGACTCCAGGAGGCAACTTAATCAATCGATGTATTCATTTTGCGCCGGGGTAAAGAGGCCTTCGCAGTCACCTTCAGGCGTGCGTCACAGACAGTTGATTGGTTTACACACCCTATAGTTGCCGCTTTTTTTATTACTGTTATCTCTGGCGATGAATTCCCGCGGGAGTTTTAAAGCTCAGAACAATAAACAAACGGTTCCGGTGCTCGACCAGCCTTCTCCCTTTCTAATACGTACACGTGAAACGTGAACCTTCGCATTTATCCAGAAAATTCTGCTACTAACAGGCATGCACGTCCGTCCGTCTCCATCACCATATGTGGTCAGTAAATCAGACGAAAATAGCTACCTATTATCAAAGCTAGAAGGGCCTGATGCATGGCAAGGAGAGAAGACTCACCGAGTCAATAAGAATGTTTGGGGTTGGCCCAACAGCATTTCTCGCGGAGCCTATCTTAATGGGCGTGCCGCCCCGATGTGAGCCCTCTTTCGAATGCACAAGCCCCAGCAGTACAAACTGCAAGCCCCTGTTGTGCTTGAGGCTGCCATCCGGGTTCACCTCCACCAGACAGGGCAGTCCAGGG